GGCTCATTTTTTCTATATATTTTTAATTGTCCTGCTAATTTCTTTCTATTTTTAGTAGAGACTCGCTCTTGCTCAGGCTGGTCTCGAACTCCTGAGCTCAGACAGTCCTCCCAGAGTGCTAGGATTACAGGCGTGAGCCACAGTGCCTGGCCAAAAAAAAAAAGTCTAAGTCTTATGCACATTTAAATCATGTACATAGGTATTTCAGTAAAATAGATAATAGAAGGCAGGCATTAAATAGCATTATTCACATTTACAAAACATGTTATTTTCTTTAATTCAGATGAACTATGTTTTTTCCCCCATGTAGCTGTTTTAAGGGCTCACGTGTATTAGAATTTCTCAGATTAAAGATGTAGCTATTTTGTCTTTATGAACCAAAATATAATCATTTGTGTAATGTGTATCCTGCCATTTTCGATGACAAAAGACCTTATATTTCTACTGTTCCTGCAAGAGAGGGAGTTTTTTTTTTTTTTACTTATAGTAGCAAAATGTTCACTTTAGTCAAGCTTGGGTGTGCAGTGGAAAAACCACATTGTATTTAGATTAGTAAAAATAAAGTTTGGGCATAGGAGTGGCCTGTGGTTTTCAGCCATCTTGTAATCCAAGTATCATCCTTTGTGGAGTTCTCTAGGTCATTTCTTATTGTCTTGTTGTAACAAGGTAGAGATTATTACTACGATAAAAATCACAAAACACTTCCAAGATGTCCCTTGATTTTATGCTATCTCAGGTTAGGATGCTAGACCAAGAGACTAAAACAAAAAGCTGTTCCCTTGAAGAAACTGCTTTCAGTCACTGTACATGATTAAATAACTTAGCATATGACTGTATGTGGGAATGAGATAAAAAATGATGGCAGGGCCAGAAATAGTAATTTTTTTTATACTTTTGTTAGATTTTCTCAGGTTCTATATTCAATAAGAAAAAGCACTTTATTGCCATCTGCGTTTATTTTATGAAAATGTGAAGCATTTTTTCTCCCCTAAAATGGAGTAATATATTTAGGTGCCAGATCTTCTCTAGTGTCAGTAGGAAAATGAATGCATTTTGTATTATAGTAGAAAAGTGTTTGTTTCACAAGAAATAAACTATATAGGGTTTGTATGTAACCTTTCGTGTTTATTTTATCCTATGTTGCTTTACCTTAAATTTGCAACATACATATCCATGTAAGTATAACTATTCATGACTGGTGTCTTCATTAAAATATTTTATACCTTCTTAAAATTATCACTGTGCTTCTAAATATTCTAATATAAAATCACTATGTAATGTACTATATACACATATGTGAGAGTTTATCTTGAACACTTGTTTAACAGTATTAAATTTTACTTTGGTTGTGCTATGCTTATCGATAATTGGTAGAAAAAGGCAGGAAACTTAGTACTATGCTCTCAAAAAGTAGTCACATAGTTCAACTTAATATAACCTATGAATATGAGAAAGGTTGCCTTCTCTCCCCCAGTACTGCACTTGAGGAAGATTCTTATTTATGAATAAGTTAAATAATCTAATTGCCTAGTAGTTTTTCTCACACATTTTATTACTAACATGCAATGTATCTGATGAAAAGAAAACTGAATTGAAGCTTTCTCTATACTTAAGTGGTAAAGAAGCATTAATAGTTTTAAAATACAATAGCAACCAAAATTGCTAGAAATTATTTTAGCATTTTGCCATAATAACTACTTCATTTTTGTATTGAAAAAGTACTTGGATAAACTGTAGTTGATGGAATAGCTGAAATACTAAAATTTTAAATTTCTCCCAAAGTTCT